AACAATAATGAGGAAAAATTGTCGAATTTTTCCCAATTTTTCACCCATCCCAGTAAAATGTCAACGATAAACCATTCGATGAATTTCAAATTTCATCAGGACGTTCCCATAAATTTTAATGGGCAATTAACCGGAGAACTTAACTATCATTTGATTCATAGGCTTCGGAATTCTTTCTGTTTGCTGCTTTGATGACGGTGGATATACTGATATTCGCAGTGATGGCGAAGTTCTACAAATACCGAACTTACAACGATGATGAAAGTACGGAGCCCAGTGATGAGCATATACCATTAGAAGGAAAGGACGGTCGCCTTAATGAATCTTTTTCAACCAGTGAAGAGAACGTGAAATTATGAAACTCCATAAATTTCATTAATAATTTATTTGAGTGTGCATGCAGACATACCATCACTTCTTTGATATTACGAACAATTAATAATTCTCATTATTCATAACTGGAGATTATCAACTATTGGAAATTTAAGATCATGGGGTATAGTGGGGGGTATGGTGTATTGAAGAAAACAATAAACAATAATATATTTTCTGAGTATCAGTTAAAAACAGATTGGAGCCCTGTACCCTGTACATGTAGCCCTGTAGCCCTGTCCCTGTACATGGTATGTTCCAACCTTAGAAAAACCCCGCAATGGTTATCCCTTCCCCCAAGCTGAGTTCATCTAGTTTAACTGAAAAAGGTTGATCTTAAAAAAAAATCATGCACCATAAAAACTATTCATGGGCTTTTCACTAGAAGATAAGAGGAAATCTTTCCATCCCATCGGGCACGATTTTTCGCGTTCGAGGTGCGATCGTCCCTTCGACTCCTCTAACAAATTGGAAAACAATCCTATTCTAAAAGGGACACGCTTGACACAATCGATTATCTCGAAAATCTCGAAATCATGAAGCCACGATTCCTTATTGGTCCATTTAAAATGGCGCGAGATTACAAAGTTGTAACAGATTTTTACAGAAATCGTTTCATATCCGCGCGCTGGTGCGCGGTACGGATTAATTTAAAAAAAAAGCCACAGGTATGTCCAAATCAATAGCCGCTGCACATGTCTAAATAACTGGTAGCGAAGACGAATTTATCATATTTGCCACATATTACAAACCCGTTATAATTAATTAATTAATTTGTTCAAATTGGATTCGATTAACATTATCGATTCGCTAGCGAACAATTCCCAATCATGTAGAAAACACAATCAACTGTCTTATAGTAATACTATTGATCCTTGGAAAATGCCACGATGTGACGGTGCTTAATTTTTTTTTTACTGTAACACACAAAGTTTAAGGTTTTCCAACATCCACATGTGTCTATGCCATATCTGTGGTCTTTGTAAATAACTGCTCTGTTATCTGATTAAAATTGAATCTACGTTCTGATTCTAAGAAAGAGTCCAAGAGCTGACGTTAGATTGATATTTTTCTAAGCTTGCACATGATTGTA